GCTCCTTCAGGCCTTAGCCCTTTTGAGAAACCCTATGGGAACCCTTTCTTAATCAACGGAAGCTTTCCAATCACTCCTCCACCCCTTGTGTCCTACCTGCCTAATCTCATACTTCTACACAAACTCCTAAGGGAACACGCAGACCGGTGCCTTCTTGGGCCATTCATTGCCTCAATCCCAGAGCAACCACGAGCTTAATTGGACCCTCTTCAACTGGGTGATTCAGGAACTGCATTCTCAATTGTAGGAACCTCGATGGACAGGACCCCATACAATGGCGCTTCTACATCCAAGTGACATGGCACCAGGATGACACCACCCACTCAATTGATGGGTCAAGGCAATTGCTCTTCCACTGGCTGCAATCAGGCTGTTACTCTTAACATTACTGGATTCAACCAAGCCACCTTAGATACTTCCTAGAGTCCCTATGACAGGACCAATGACAGATACCACGTATCTCCTCCGCTCAGAAATGGTTTGATGCCTGCTGTTGACAACCTATGGCTTCAAGGAAACTTTATGGACTTTGTACCTGCCAAAATAACTGTCTATAGCCCCTGGATATTATTTCTAGCTGCCTTGGTATTCCCAGACCTGTCCCCCGAACATTCCTCCACTTTCCCTCCTAGGTCCCAAGCCAAACACCATGAAGCAGGAAGTAGCCAGAGGATTTTACACTGCCCCATGTCACCTAGAAAAACAAAAAGGGAGGAATGTTAGGTGCAGGACAGGCTGAACTGTGTTGTCTGCAGGGAAGGCTGAACATATGTTAGCTGCAGGATAGCCCACACACTCAAACCCCCTCTGTCTTGTCCTTTATCACCTGTTTGCATCAAGTCTGAACACTCAACCCCACTCAAGGCTGAGCACTCAACCCCTTGCTCAAGGCTGACACTCAACCCACCGCTCAAGGCCAAGCACTTAACCCCCTTGTGTGCCAACAAGGCAGCTTGCAAACCCAGAGAAGCTGTTAGATTTAGGCAGCACAGCAGAAGGGCTATAAAAGCCTTCCCCAGCCGGGCCCCCCCCACCACCACTTCTCTTTCTCTCTTTTCTTCTCTTTGTACTGCTACAATAAAGATCTCTTGGTCGCTCTGAGTGTTGTGGTCACTTTACTTTCAGTTTCCCCATAAGTTTTTATTGATATTTCTTTGAAGAATTAAATTTCTGCCAAAAGAAAAATAAAAGAAGTAAATGAATAAACAACAAGGAGAGTCTTTATCTTTGATGTAATTTTCAAGGATTCCAGTGTTCTTGCCTTGGTTTTACTTTTCTATTTTATATCCCAGGTTATAATAATTCTGATACAGGTCTTCAAAACTGAAAGGTAGTAAGTAAATGTAACAACCTGCATGCAATCCTGCAAAACTATCATACCAATGATTCCCGAGTCCAAAGCAGGAGGATCACAAAGTTGATGCCAACCTCAGCAGTATAATAAGATGCTGTTTCAAAAAAAAAAAAAAAAAAATTAAAAAGGGATAGGGAACGGCTCAGTCGTAGGGTGTTCTTGGGTTTAATCTCCAGAACCACAAAAATGTTTTTTTTAAATATAATTAAATATTTTCAGAAGCATCATTAGAGTAAGAAGTTCTTATTATAGTGGCTGGAAAGAAATTACTAAATAGATACATAAATTTATCCTGGAGTACATCTTCCCTGTGTCCCAGTTCCTCCCACCCTGTCTCCTTTCTTACAGCTACCACAAGGGGAGCAGCCTCCCTCTCCCTCTGAAGAGCTGCTTCACTCTTAACCCAGAGTAATGGAGTCAGCCATCTATGAATTGAGATCTCGGAAACCAAACTGTGAGGCTCAAATAAACTTGTCCTCCTCTAGATTGTTCTTGTCAGGTATTTTGGTCACGGTGAGGAAAAAATTCAATAATATACTTAGCTAATAAAGGACTGTGTAAAATTAACAGGAGGAAGAGAGTCAACTATGGAATCTAGTTGGTCTGAAGAGTAAGAATAAGGAAACATTTCTGTAAAGCATTCTCATAATTTGCAGAATCGTTTCTGTTTTAGTCATCCATTTAAGAGATTAAAAACAAGTAAGCTGCTCCTTGCCATATGACCCTCACTTAGAACATAATAAGGAAACACTCAACACATTACCAAGGTTGAAGAGCAGAGTTTATCCACACGTGAAACACTCCTGGTTTCAACTCAAAGTATCCTCAAATCCCTGATTAAAGAATACCTTACTTTCAGCTGGGTGCAATGGCACACACCTGTAACCCCAGCCACTCTAGAGGCTAAGGCAAGAGGATCAAAAGTTCAAAACCAGCCTGAGCACAGCAGTGATATCCTCAGCAACTTAGTGAGATACTGTTCCAAAACAAAAACAAAAAACAAAAGGACAGAGACTATGGTCCAGTGGTTAAGAGCTCCTGGATTCAATCCCTGAAATAAAAAAAAAAAAAGTACCTTATTGCACTGAACATGAACTCTTGAGTATATATTCTGTTGTGCCCATTATTATTTATTTTTTCTAAATAAATAAAATATCTATCATTGTGTATCCGGCATACCCAGAAATATCTTGCAGCTGGGTGTGCCAAAAAGATAAGTTTTAATGCATAGAATGGAAACATAAAGGATGTAGAAAACACCAAGCCATTCTCCAGTGGCTTGCTTCTCAGGATATTTTTTAGCTTTTCTGCTGGATGGCATATGGCAACAAATTGACCTTTTTTGCATACATAATTAAAAATCCAGTTGTTAAAAATATTCCTTTTGACCACCTCCTATATTCGGAGAAACAAATGACAACAACACACTGGCCAATTCCTTTAAAATTAGCATTGATTGGCCTGTGCCCTAACAGATCCTATGAGAGACTTGACTTTACACTGAGTACCAGTGAGAAAAAAAACCCTCAGACCACATCCTCACACCTGTAATCCTAGTGACTTGGAAGACTGAGTCAGGAGGAACACCAGTTGGAGGTCAGCCTCAGCAGCTTAGTGAGGCCCTATGCAACTTAAGACCATGTTTCAAAAAAAAAAAAAAAAAAATGGCTGGGGATGTGACTCAGGGGTAAAGTACCCAATGAGTTCTATTTCCAATACCAACAAGAAATAGAGAAATGAACCCACAGTTTGGTGGAATTAAACATATTATAAATGATATAATTTCTTCACAACTCATTATTTTATTCATGGATATACCCCCACTAAATATTTTCTTTTTTAAAAAAACAGACATATCTCACTTGTTATAAAACACATACTCTTTTTCATATGCATTTGTCTTCAAAGTATAAAAGTATTTTGTGTTTGACACAATAAAGGAGATTTACAGCACCTTTGACTTAGTGATTTAATAATAGGTCAATTTCATTCTTGATTGTCTACATCATTCTAAGTCCAATTTTATGCTTTCTTATCACTATGGACCTTCATATTCCCCTGGTACATTATTTTATCTCTGGGGAAATTTCAAAATCAACATTATACTATAAAATAATAATTTCAAATTTCAAAATAGTGGAACCTCCTTAACATTCAAAACTGGGAATCTAGATTTCTTGCCTTTCATTAACATTATCCTCTAATATTTTCCTGTCCTATTATGTTAACAGAACTTTGGAAACTTTCCTCAGGCTAGCACAATATGTGCTTACACTATGCTTTCATTCTAATGTTAGAAGAAAAATACTAAAATACTAAAAACTGTGTCGATCTAGAACATAACAATTCATGTTAAGCCTAAGGCAGGCATTTTCATAAATATGTACTCTATATGAAAAATTTAAACTAACTTTAAGTTGCTTTTTCGTGAGCACATGATTAAAATGCAGAAATGAAGCTACTGTCAAGGTTAAAAATATATGAGTATGAACATGAATGTAAGAAACTGCATAAATTCCATCTTACTAGCAGTGTAGGCTGCAACTTCACCTACTGAGAATAAAGAAGGTAGACTGCGCTTGCTGGTAGCACTTGACATCATAGATAAGCCAATGGTAGGAAGTAAATGCATCTAAAAAAACTAAAGTAGTTAATTATTTCTATTAATAATATTTTAATATTTCAGCCAATATTTATTTTTTGGATACTCTGTTAGGTACTAGGGTAAGCTCTACTTGCATTATATTATCTGAACTCAGTCATTAGAATGAGTGCTGGTCTATCACTTAAGCTGATTCACCTGAGAGGGAACACACAGAACCTAAAGAAATCTCATTTGGAAACATCACCTTATTTCACATCTCTTTAATTCCTCCTGGCTCAGCTTCTTTTTCATAATTAGTGTAGTATAGGTAGTTTTCTTGTTTTGTTTGGTACTGAGTATTGAACCCAGGGCACTTAACCATTGAGCTACACCCCCAACCCTTACTTACTTTTGAGGCAGGCTCTTGATAATTTGTTTAGGCCCTCACTAAATTGATAAAGCTGGTATTGAGCTTCAACGTCCCAAGTCACTAGGATTACAGGCATGTTCCACCAAGCACAGCAGTATAAGTATTTTTGTATTTAAATCATGCAGGATATATTTATATATAAGCTGCACAATAAATGTTCAAGAAATGTAAACTGCCTAAGTCTTTTCACCAGAAGTGATAAGAAATAAAACTGGCAAGTCTACATAGTGAACACCCATTCCCGGGTATGGCTGACAACAAAGTCTACCAAGCTTTACATTTTAATTTTTTATTGACAAACATTTGTTGATTTCTACAATATATTCAGGAAGAACATTTGATGGCAGAAACACATTCATAAACATGATTGAGTATGACATGACAACCATAAAAAATCAACTGAGTATTCATTGTATCATGGCAAGATGGAAAAGTCAGTAGAGAGTACAAGTTTGTATTCTGTTTCACTATCTTCCCATCTCATGTCTCATGCCCTGGGGAATGATCATAAATCTTGAACCCCCATATCCCACACCTGATATAGTCAAACCCTGAATGCCAGACATTCTTCTGAGCTACAATGCCTGTTCATTAAGTTAATGTGAAAAATTACATGTGCCCACCATGATGGTAACACACACACCTATGCTACCTTTTCCCCTTTAAGGTGAATTGAATAGCTCCAGAAGATTTCAAACTGACAGATGCATTCTGGATGGCCAGATCTGTGTAGATGTGCAAACTCTTGTGTTCCTGTATTAATCTAGACTCGGAATCACAAACCCATGTTTTCGTAATCACACAAAGGTCATGAAACATTGAATCAACAACAGCTTATATTATAGGCAACAAAAGATGGTTTTATTAAAGTAAAATTGTGCAAACAAAATTTCATATTGTATCATATTTTCATATTGAATAAAATGAGGTTACATTAAGACAGGGATAAAAAATAGTCATAGTAATTGCTCTGCTTCAACTGAGAAGGGGTCCCTTAAATATGAAGTTCTCAGGTAGAGAAGTTAACTTCCTGAATTATCCCTAATTATGTGTGGACTGTGGAAAATAAATGGCCTGACAGGGAAACTCAGGGACTCAATAGGATATCTCCATATAAGGGAACTCCTGGCAACATTCAAAAAACTCACACTTTTACTTTGAAAATCAAGGAACACACCAACATGGCCCATCGGTCTCTCTATATAGAGAGAAAATATTGGGGAGGTGGTCAAGAGACTGAAATGTGTGTCCTCCTTCACACATAAAAGGAGAAACATGTCCTCAAATTCAGGCAATGTGTGGTTCTTCCTTACCACAGAATCCCTACAGACTCCCACAGCCCAGTTCCAGGAGCCACAAACATCCAGCTCCCAGTAATGTTTCCCAGAAGTGAAGATCTGATCTCCCAATGCAGCGAAATAGTTTGATCTGTCAGAATTCAAAGCTTCATCTTCATCATCTTCTCCAAACATCAGTCTTCTCACATCACACAGCACTACATTGTGACTGCTTATTTCATTACGGAAGGAAATGTTCACTGTGAAGAGAGAATAATTCAGCCAAAATCAGACTTTCCCCCCGCCCCAATTCATACAAGGTGAGAGTTGATTTAGAGACTTACAAGAAAAAACAAGCAAAGATTAATGGAAAAGCTTTGGCTAGAAAAATATCAGATTCAAGGGCTACCAGTAAATCTGAACACTTATTAACTACAGGGAAAATATTCCTAAAAATTCATTGATTATAGAGCTTACTTCTGCTGCTTATTTTTTATGACACTCGAAAATCTGGAGACCTGAGCATTCTCAAGTCCATAGCAATAAAATTAACCTCCATTACTCTCTCTTGTGAAAAAAAAAAAAAAAGACAAAAATAAATGTAATCATGGATAGTAGATAATATGATTATTATTACATAATTACATAAATGTATCAGTGATATTACAATCTTCTGGTTAAGAAACCAAGTTTATATTTAAGAAAATCTATTTATTACAGAATTGGTTTCCCGTTTTAAGAATTTTCTGCCTTTTACTTTTGGTTCCATCTGACCCATTTTGTGCTAAACTAACCTGTCAGGGTTAGGTCTACCATGGAGTTCCACATACTGCTTCACCAAGTGATGACTTACTTCATCATTGTTCATAAAATGTTCTGTGAATTCATTATTTTATATTTGTGTACTGTTTATTATATCAAGTGTAATGTATTACAAATTTAGTTACTAGAAAACATTAAAGAAAACCATTTTTACAAATTTAAATTCAATAAACCCATTATCATAATTAATTGCTCTTGAAATTGTCTTGACTTGAGTCCATTAGTGTGACTCAGTGAACAAATGATATTGTATGTGATAATGTTCTTTTAGGGCTTAATGAGACTTTTTATTTCCTTTCCTTAATTCAAACTTTTGTGACAGAGCTTGTATACAACATTTAATTTATGTTTTTTTCTTTACATTCTTCCATATTTTAACATGGTATACATCAATAAATATGTTTTGCATTCTTAGTTGCAGGCTGATCACTTTTGTTAGGTCAACGATTAATGAAGAGGGAATAGAAAACCATCATTGTAGGGCACAGTGTAGCTGTCCCTCAAACAGACTGACACTCACCTTGGAAGTGGTTAAGTTCATCTCTCAGTCCAGTGATGGGCTGAGCACTGAGCTGTGGCCTCACAGGCTGGGGCATGTGCAGGAACACTAACTCATACCTGCAAGGAAAAAATAAATAAATTGACCTTTCTGGCACCAAAGACTTCAACAATGATAGATTCAAACAGTGTTTAAGACATGATGGTAATGGCTCAACTAAAGGTTCTTTATCAAAATCATATTCTAATGAAGCCTAGTGAAAAGGAGCACACCAGAATATAAAACAATGGAAAAATATTTATAGCCCACAGGAAGTAAGAAGAGGATGGGAGTTGTCTGAAAAGCAATGCTCTCTCCAAAGAAAGAAAGCTTGAGGACTTTATTCTGGGATTCTATACATATTCACTTTGGGGGCCATTGTATTAGGATGTACATTTCTGGACTGGGAATATTTCTCAGTGAACTTGCCTGACATGTAGGAGGCCCTTGTTGAAATCCCCATGAATAAAAAGGAAGAAAAAAAGAAAAAGATGTACATTTCTCTGTTGTTTTTTTCTTTCTTTCTTTTTGGTACCATGGATTGAACCTAGGGGCACTTTACCACTGAGCTATATATATAACCCTTCTTGTTTTCAGACAGGGTCTCATTAAGTTGCTGAGGCTGACTTCAAAGAATGTGCCATTCTCCTGAATTGCAGTCTAAGCCTCCTGAATTGCTGAGATTATAGGCCTGCACCACTGTGTCCAGCCAAAATATGTACCTTTCTGAACATTCTCAATTAAGGATCCATAGTTCAAGTTGAAGAGATGGCATATATTCCTTAGTTTTCTCAAGTGGAGATCATTGAGCACATGATAAAAGTTTTAAAAGGCAGATGAGAACATGTAAAGATAGCTGATGAGAACACGTAAAGATAGCTGATGCAAACACTTCTGGCTGACAGGAAAAAAAAAAAAACATTGCTCAGCTAAATGATGTAATGGGTCTAAAAGAAAAACTTAGATTGCCTCAGTGACCTTTGAGATATTGGCTGAGTCTTTGTAAATTTCTCCAAAAGTTTTAGCGAAAATAAATGAAAGGACACTTTGACAGTATGTTAATGTAGGAGTTTTATCCTAAAGGTTCCTACATCACTTAACAATGATCTAACACTGATATTTAGTGTAACTACATAATCATGGGGTAGGATTGTTCTAGTTTTTGTTGTTTTTGTTGTTGTTGTTGTTTTATTGATACCAAGGAGTGCTGAGAGCATCCCCCACTTTTTTTTTTTTTTTTTTTTTTTTTTTTTTTAATTGAGACAGAGTCTCCTAAATTGTTGATGCTGGCTTTGAACTCATGATCCTCCTGTCTCAGCCTCCTGAGCCACTAGGATGACAGGCTTGCTTCACTGTGCCCAGATCAGGATTGTTCTAGTCTTAAGGAATCTTTCTTACTTTTTTCTCTGCCTACTTCTCTCACCTATCACCTGGTAAGGACTATTCCACGTAACTCAATTTGTTTATGACTTGAAATCTAAAATGATAGATAGCTGTCTTTAGAAACCTCTGTTTAAGTTCAGCAAAAACTACACCCTTCAGCTCCAGGGAAGGAAAAGCTCAGTTTTGATAAAAAGGGAACAAGAAATCATAATCAGTAAAACACAGACACATAGAGGAAATGTACATTATCTCAATAAGTACTTTCTTCATTGTCAGAAACACATTGGTATTCACAGACTTTGTGGTGCCCCAATTTGCATTAAAAGTCAAACTTACTCTGCCAATGTGTCTTCTAAATTCTGTAAAGAAAAAAAAAAACAAAAAGAAAGAAAAGCTTAAATTTCATCAGAATTAGCTATTCTACCATTAAGCCTTTGTATTTGAGAAACTTAAAAAATTACAACCACCACCTCAACACTCCTTGTAAATTAATTTTCTACCATAAAGGTAAAACAGAAGAATCTAACTTTTGCTAAATTCAAAACCCTGAGGGTTATTCTGCAATGCTACAAACCAGCAACTGTCTGAAAAGAGATCTTTTGCAGGACTTATTCACATAGTGACATGTGCTAAGGACAATTTGAACTAAGGACATTCAGATTAAAAAAGAATGTAATAAATGTTAACTATTTTCAAATTTCTTCATGTTGCTCAGCTGGACAAAAATGAAATACCCATGAATAAAATGCTCTTTTTATTTATTTCTTTTTAAAACATTTTAGATGTTGATGGAGCTTTATTTAATTTACTTATTTAGGGGTGGTGCTAAGAAATTAACCCAGTGCCTCACACTTGCTAGGCAAATGTTCTACCACTGAGCCCCAGCCCCAGCCGGTTTCTTTCTATTTCTTAATGAAGTAACCTACAAAAGGATAATTTCAGAAATAAACATATCCTGAGGAACCTACTGTCACAATTTAACAAAGCTTGCTTGCTGCATGAAATCACAGTGTCTGTTATTCCCAAAGGGGGAAGATCCCACCCAAAATGCAGAATGCATATAAATATATCTTTGGTACCAAATAATGTGGCCAAGACACAAAATATTTTCAGTCATGTCCCAATTACTTACCTCAAACAGCTCCACATATGGTTTATGGCACATTTTCATTAGCTCCTGATAATCTTTCTTTAGTTGTTTCCCCTTTTGAAGCATTTTGGCTTTGCTTTTCTTAATTTGCTGTATAGTCAATTTGCGTTCCTTTAAAAGTGTCTCCAAATGTTGTTTTTCTTCTTCATGGACACTGGGATGCAGCATCCTATAAGCTGCCTTGATATTCTCTCTGTGCAGATGCACATACCACTGCAAGGACACAAATTTCTTAGATCAAATATTAGGTCAACTTTACTCTCCTCCACTTTATAACATCATCTATTCATTTTGACTCATGTCTTATGCTAGTAAACTATGTACATAAATTCGTGTCTTTCTATTTCTCATAAACCATTAATTCATTCTTCTCTTCCCTTCATTTATTTTTTCACTCATTATTAACTATATTAAGAGGCAGAACACTCCTCTCTCAAACTCATCTACTTCGTGACTTTTTGAAACAACCAGAAAGAAAGATTTTCATTGGTAATTCCTGTATATATCTTCTCAAATCAGAAAGTCTGAATGCAAGCCATTTTGAATTCATGCATAACTCACAAATAATTGTATGCAACACTTTCATTTTTGTTAGTAAATAGGTCAATAATATCAAACTTCCCTGCTCCATAGCTCAACAATTCTCCCTGAGTAGCAGTGTGGTTTTGTACTCCAACAAGTAGAAGCTATCAAGAAAGATCTTCCTAAAATTTTGTGATGATTCCAACTCACTTGATGAATCAATAAATGTCTACCTTTCCTATCCTAGGTTGATTCTGAGAGAAATAGACTCTCATACTTACAACCCATTGGTTAATTTTTCTGCTCTCTTCTTTTAGATTTCTCTGGTTTTCTTGGATCTTTTTCCAAAGAGATCTCATTAGTTTTAGAAACTTCTCCTGTAAGAGAATAAAATTTAAGCACTGGACAAGCAAAGTTGATTATGTTTTCAGGCCCACAATGATGAAGAATTTCATGCAATTTATATTTAAAAAAAAAAGTTTTATGCAGCACAGAGGCTAGGGTTTCCCTGCTTGGTGTGGATAATTATCAATTTTAGGGGATTCAGACTATGGAATCACACAATGTAATAAAACCATTTTCCTAGAGAAAATGGCAAATACATGGGCAATGTTAATTCTTAGGTAGTGTGGCAATTTGCTTCAGAATTTGGATCTAATGACACTAATATTCTGTGAGTTTCATTCTAACATATCCTATATAAAAGCCCTTTGAATTTGTGGTACCACTTCCCTGCTCACCATACTAGCAATTGAACCTAGGGTCTCATGTATGCTAGGAAAGTGCTATGCCACTGAGCTATATCAACAGTCCTTTTAAGAAGTTATTATATATTTTAATTTTCCCAAGCCATCCTCCAACTGATTATCCTCCTGCTTCAGTCTTGTGAGTCACTGGGTTTACAGGTATGAACCACCACATCCAGCAGAACATTTAGTTTTGTTAGTTTAGACACTCTTATAACCATGAGAACTTTAAAGTGCCCTAAGCAGTAAAACCATATCATCAAGTTATTGAAATAGGTTATAATAAATTAGTTTCCTCACACTCTCAGTTTCCATGAATATAGATACTATCACATACTTTATTCATAATTTTATCACTGCTACCTATACTTGTATATGGCACTCAGTAACAATGGTTCTTGTGCCTTATAGTCTTAGTCACCCTGCCCTCTAGCTATCTCAGAAGCATCACTTACCCTGTACTGCTCAGCAGCCTCTTCAATGGGACAGTGTCTGTGAGCCCTGTGCTCCTGGGAGTTGGAGCAGAGCAAACACAGCAGGGTCTTGTTCTCTTCACAGAAGATCTTTCTCTCCTTGTGGGTCACACACATGTGATCCCTAGAGCTCGGGAAATGCCTGACACTGGCTTTTCTGACAATGGATACCAGATTCTTCAAACAAATATTGCTCTTGAAGTCAATCTGCTGTGATGGCTCCCTGCACACAGGGCAATGTGCAGGAGTTTGGGCTTCTTCCCAGAAAAGGCAGAGACAGGGCCAACAAAAGCTGTGCCCACAGCATATGGTGACTGGGTCTATAAGATAATTCATGCAGATGGAGCAGGTGAGTTCTCTCTGGAAGACTTGCAGGATGTCTGAGTCCATTCTTCTTTTTTTCCCCCTATTTTTTTAAGGGAAGAGAATCAGAACATTTTCATATATGCAGTCTGGAAAGACAAGAAACTAAGTAAACAAAAAAAATTTGGGGGGCGGGTGGTACCAGGGATTGAACTCATTGGCATTCAACCACTGAGCCACATTCCCAGTACTATGTTGTATTTTATTTAAAATCAGGATCTTACTGAGTTGCTCAGCTCTTTGCTTTTGCTGAGACTGGCTTTGGTCTCACAATTCTTCTGCTTCAGCCTCCCTAGCTTCTAGGATTAAACTAATCAAAATTGTACTCAAGTTATGACCCAATAATAAGCCTATGTCTAGGAAGAATAGCCTTTATTTTGCATGACACAAACAGAAAATGGAGGCATAAAAAGAGCTTTCAAAAACTTTAGAAATCACTATTGCTTACCTAGTCATCAGCATCCCCATCCTATTTTTGCCTCATGCATAAAACAGAACCTTATAATCCCTAGTGCCCTTCCTTTCCAGCTTGGGCACAGGCAGAATGGCTCCCACAAAGAATGGTGGGGAGAAGGGTTGTTATGCCATCAAGGAGTGGTGACCAAAAAATGCCCCATCAGCAATCACAAGCCCATCCAGGGAGTGGGCTTCAAGGCATGTACCTCTGGCACTCAAGATCCAGAAATTTGCTGTGAAGGAGATGGGGACTCTAGATACGCACATGGATACCAGGCTCAGCAAAGCTGTCTAGAAAACAAGACAATGAAGTGTCCCATAATTGTATCCATGTTCAATTGTTCGGGAAACATAATTAGGATAAAGATTCACCCAATAATCATTACACTTTGGTATCCTATGTCGCAGTTGCCACATCCAAATACTTACAGAAAATGTGAACTATCTTATCAAATGAAGTTATAAATCTTCCTTTCTTAAACAAAGAAAGAACCTCAGTTTCATAAAAATGTGACATTCCTCTAAATGATCTTAACCATGAATGTTTGACCCAATTAGAGTTTTATAATGTGGATTCTGAATGCTTTTAACATCAATCATATTGCTCACTGCCCATAATTGGTATAGAAAAGGGCATATGAAAGCTAGGGACTTAGTGGTAGAGTCTTGCCCAAAATGGCAGAGGCCTTGGATTTGGTTCCCAGCACTGTATTAAAAAAAAAAAAAAAAAGTGAAAAAGAAAGAGAAAGAAATGCCCCTACCATTGAACTATTACTTTAATTATTTTATTTAAATATCTCCTTAGATATTATTACTATTATTATTACTTCTTATTATTATTATTTCAACTAGAATTCACTATCCCAAAACAATTTCTAAATACTTAAGGGTTAATGTGATGATCATTACTATCCAAAGTACATGTATGAAGACACAAATTGGTGTGCACATACTATGTATACAACCAGAGATATGAAAAATTGTGCTCTATATATGTAATAAGAATTGTAATGCATTCTGCTGTCATATATAAATTTAAAAATTTACATAAAAATAAATAAATAAATACCTAAGGGCTGATGATTAAGGTTAACATTGCAAAATTGAATCAGATTTCAGCCAAAATCTTACTAACAGGAATATACTAACCTCTTGTGGTACTCTCCTATCTTTATTATCTATACTCTTGTAATAAAAAAAAATACACAAATTACAACAAATAGGTATATCTAGCAAGTCATTAAAATCATTACCAAATACCTATCACACTGGAAAAACACATAATTAACTTAATTGACACCAGGAAACAAGCAGTGCTTTCTGGCAGAATGCATTTTAGCAGACTTCCTGAATAGGACCTGCTCAGATCCGAAAATAAGAACAAGAATCAGTAAATGGGATGGCACCAAATTAAAAGCTTTCTGCACAACACAGAAACAACTGAGTGAAGAAAAACTACTGAGCGGAGAAAATTTTTGTCAACCTCTCTTCCCACAGATATATATATATATATATATATATCCAGAACAGAAAGAACTCAAAAATCTAAGCATTATAAAAACAAATAACCCAGTTAATAAATAGGCTAATGAACTGAACATACAGCTCCCAAAAGAAGTACAAATGACCCACAATTACATGAAAAAATGCCCAGTGTTCACCAAGTGCACACCTGTACTCCTAGAGACTAGAGAATCTGAGGCAAGAGGACTACAAATTCAAGCCCATCATCAATCAATTTAGTAGGGCCAAAGCATCTTGATGAGACCCTGTATTAAAATGAAAAATCAAAAGGTCAGGGGATATGGTTCAGTTGGTAAAACACCCCTGGGTTCTATCTCTAGTACTCTCCTGCTCTTCACACACACACACACACACACACACACACACACACACACAATGAAGGAAGGAAGGAAAAAAGAAAGAAATTTTAATATCTTTAGCCCTCAGGCAAATGCAAATCAAAACTAATCTTGTGAGTCTCACTCCAATGAGAATGGCAATCATCAAGAATACAAAACAATAAATTCTGGATGTAAGAAAAAGGAACTGTTGTACACTTTTGTGAGGATGTAAACTGGTTCCTTTAATACATAGTAACAACAATGGAATACATAAATTATTTATGTAAAATTAATCATCAAATTTATTCCAAGGCATGCAACAAGACAACAAACAGCAGTCTAATAATTACTAAGAAAGCAAATTACATCACTTCACAGAAAACAAGTTCATTTTACTGATAATTAAAATTCACAAATTTGCTTGCTTTGATATGGGAAAGTAGCAGGAGCTGCTTTTCTGTATAGTCACCTAAGAAATATGTCTGTGGGCTCACCAATACTTGCTGCAGAAGTAATAATATGAAATCGACACAGGAATCAGGGCCTCTGTGTGGTAGTGGAAGACTTCTGAAATCTCTCAGCCAGTCCCAAAGGCACTCTGTGAGTTCTGGAGAAGAACAAGTTGGGCTCTTGCAGTGTCCTTTTATTGCTCCAGAAACCACACCCATTTTCTCCAAAAGATTGCATTTCTTGGAGCTTTGATAGTCTTGAATGGATGATTGATTGGATGATTGATTAGGTGTGTCCAAAATAGAGATCTCCATAAACAATCTTGTAGAAACCTCCTCTCATCAACAGTCGCTGATTATATACCAATTTACCCTTCAAATGTCAAATTTAAATATATTTTTTGGAATATTTTTATTTTTATTTATAAAATGAGAGAAAAGAGGTATCATCAATTTATACACTTAACAAATGTTTTAGAAAATTTGAAAATGTTTTCTTTGAGATTGGCTTTAATTCTATCCTGTCATGCAGAGAATGATGATATATATATATTTTTTATGTTAATCTAAGAACATCACTGATCCCACTCCACCCTGGAGATTTCTCCTGCCCTCACATTCCAGATCACACTTCCCAAGGCCTCCATAAATGGCAGAAATTTGGTTTGGCACTGCCTGACCCACTTCAGGGATGCAGGGGAGAAAGGCCAAGAAGTCCTAGCTCATAGAACTTTGTGGGGCAACTTAATGTTTAATTTACATTATAATTATTTATTTTTATGTTTTGATACAGTCTAAGTTGTTCAGGCTTGAACTTGACATCATCCTGCCTTAGTCTTCTGAATAGCTTAACTACAGATGGACCTCACTGTGTCAGCTGTAATTTGCTTATTATAACAAAAAGGAAACAACAATGGAAAAAAATCAGAAATAGTTTCTTTAATTATTGATTTGGGAAAATAGTGTTTTAGAAAGGAATAACTCATAGTCCCCTCTTCCAAAATGATCTCTAAATCTGGGTGTCTCCCTTTCCTGGCATACTTTAAACCAAGATTTAGCTGTAGGAATGAACAGGTTTCAGAAGGAATGAGAATTCTTACCTGATCTTTTAGTTTTCCAACGTACATATATGTATGTATGTATATATATATATATATATATATATATATATATATATACAACTCATGGTTTGGTAAGTTTTACAATTGTGCTTTCTAGAAATGATCTTGGGTTCTAAAAGCACAGCTGTACTCTGGGGGCCCATAAATGTTAAACTCAGGGGTTTTATGTCCAGTTCTTAATCAAAATTTCTAGCACCATTCTCTCTTCAGTAAAGTCTAAAATCTATACTCATTAAGAAAATCCAGGCCAGGAGTAGTGGTGCATGCCTGTAATCCCAGCCACTTAGGAGACTGAGGCAAGAGAACCACAAGTTTGAGGCCAGCCTCTGAAATTTAGTGAGGACCTAAGGAATTTAGCCTGTCTTATAATTTAAAATTTAAAAATAATCAAATAAGTAAACAAGGCTGGTGATGTAGCTCAGAGCTAAATTTCCCCTGGGTTCAATTCCCAGTATCAAAACAGTACTGATTGTGGAACCTGGGATTGCAGAACGATTTTAAAATAGTAGCCTTGGCAGTTCCAGTAACTGAACGCTAGGGGGCACCGTTACCTCTTTGAAGGTAACCAACTTTGAAAATGCTGATCTCATGCTGATTCAGCTTTTTGGGGGGAATCACATGTATGCAGAATTCTCTTTTTAAAACATCGGAAAGATTAAGTGAAAAATATGATTTTCAGATGTCACACACATGGAATCTACACTTTGATCGCTTTATAAGCCCATTTAAAGCAAACAAACAAAAAAAAAAAAAACAGTATCATCTATTTAATTTTGCAATGACTCCAATTTATGAATGGAAGAGCTATGGCTGAGAAATATACTAAAGAAAATCTCATGCTCCGAGTATATTAAACCCTTAACTCAGGGCCCACCAGGACTCAGAGCTCTCTAGGTTAGGCAAGCACTCTGTCACTAAGCCCCAGTCCCAGCCTATTCTGTGCAATTTTAAGAAATTCATCTAAACTGGGTGGGGTGGGGCACACGTGTAATCCCATAATCCCAGCTGCTGGGAGCCTGAGGCAGGAGGATTGCAAGTTCAAAGCCAGTCTCTGAAATTTAGTGAGGCCCTAAGCAATTTAGTGAGACTCTGTCTCAAAATAACAAATATAAAGGATGTGCCTCAGTGGTAAAATACCCCTGAATTCACTCCCCCTG